AATCTACGCTTGAATTCATCTAAATGATGTACTAGAAGATGTCTACGCCTGTATTTATCTAGAAGATATATTAGAAGGAGTCTACGCCTTACTTTTTTTCTAAAAGAGTATCAGAAGGAAATATATGCCTGATTTTATCTAAATGATATACTAGAATGAGTCTATGCCCGACTTTGTCTAGAAGAGATAATGGAAGGAGTCTACGCCTGAATTTTTTCCCAAAAGAGTATTAGATGGAATCTACGCTTGACTTTATCTGAATGATGTACTAGAAGATATCTATGCCCGACTTCATCTAGAAGAGATATTGGAAGGAGTCTACGCCTGACTTTTTTTTCAAAAGAATATCAGAAGGTAATCCACACCTGATTTTATTTGAATGATATACTAGAATGAGTCTATGGCCAACTTTGTCTAGAAGATATATTGGAAGGAGTCTACGCCTGACTTTTTTCCCAAAAGAGTATCAGAAGGAATCTATGTTTGACTTCATCTGAATGATGTACTAGAAGATGTCTACGCCCGACTTCATTTAGAAGAGATATGAGAAGGAGTCTACGCCTAACTTTTTTTTCAAAAGAATATCAGAAGGTAATCCATGACTGATTTTATCTGAATGATATACAAGAATGTGTTTATGCCGGACTTTGTCTAGAAGAGATATTGGAAGGAGTCTACGCCTGAATTTTTTCCTAAAAGAGTATCAGTAGGAATATATGCTTGACTTCATCTAAATGATGTACTATAATATGTCTATGCCCGACTTCATCTAGAAGAGATATTAGAAGGAGTCTACGCCTGATTTTTTTTCAAAAGAGTATCAGAAGGAAATCTACGCCTGATTTTATTTAAATGATATACTAGGATGAGACTACGCCCGACTTTGTCTAGAAGAGATATTGAAAGGAGTCTACGCCTGACTTTCTTCCGAAAAGAGTATTAGAAGGAATCTACGCTTGAATTCATCTGAATGATGTACTAGAAGATGTCTACGTCTGACTTCATCTAAAAGATATATTGGAAGGAGTCTATGCCTGAATTTTTTCTAGAAGAGTATCAAAAGGAAATTTACGCCTGATTTTATCTGAATGATATACTAGAATGAGTCTACACCCGACTTTGTCTAGAAGAGATATTGGAAGGAGTCTACGCCTGAATTTTTTCCCAAAAGAGTATTAGATGGAATCTACCCTTGACTTCATCTGAATGATGTACTAGAAGATGTCTACGACCGACTTCATCTATCCGAGATATTGGAAGGAGTCTACGCCTAACTTTTTTTCCAAAAGAGTATCAGAAGGAAATTTATGCCTGATTTTATCTAAATGATATGTTCGAATGAGTCTACGCCCGAGTTTGTCTAGAAGAGATATTGGAAGGTGTAGCAGTAGAAATGTTGAGACTAAGCCATTGGATTAACTTGACTCACACATATCAAATAAAAATCACCACCACGCTTTATTGTTTCCATAAGAATGGGAAAATAGCGAATAATCCAAAAAGAGAGGGGAGAGAATCTAAGTTCGGGGGTTAGTTATGTAAAAGGAAGGTATTAGCACCTGAAACATCTACCGTACTCTGCAGGAACCACTTTGTAAATTTGTGTATTTTTGATATAAGAGTTGTATACAAAAATAGAATGTGGGGATGAGAAAAGAAGTATTTTTTACAATTTTTCACCCTCCGTGGTTCCAAACCTTTAGTGCCTATGTCACCTTCCGTGCAATAAGGGATCAGGGTAGTCCAATTAGGTCAAACTTCTTCAATCAATTCTTGCATCTTTTGACTTCCTTTGACAAATTGAGGCATGATGAATTATAGTAGGCCTTATCATGATGTACTTGAAAGCATTTTCAATAATGAAGATTGAATCTCAATGAAGTTTTGTTGGAGAAGGCATGGAAATAAACTCATGAACCTATGAATCAACTTGATGAAATCTGTTGTGCCCTCACCTATAATATCATCCATTAGAGAAAAATTTCATTGTATTTGTTAGTTTAAAACTTTATCAATACAAAACAAATATGATCACAATATACAAATTAAGGTGCTTCGTTATTCCTCATGAGCAAACCAAAAGATAGGGAGAAGATTGGAGTACAATGGAAGGAGTTTACGCCTAAGTTTTTTTCCAAAAGAGTATCAGAAGGATTTTACACTTGACTTCATCTGAATGATGTACTAGAAGATGTCTACGTCCGACTTCATATTAAAGAGATATTGGAAGGAGTCTACGCTTAACGTTTTTCCTAAAAGAGTATCAGAAGGAAATCTACGCCTAATTTTATCTGAATGATATACTAGAATGAGTCTACGCCCGACTCCATCTAGAAGATATATTGGAAGGATTCTACACTTGAATTGTTTCCAAAAGAGTTTCAGAAGGAAATCTACGCTTGATTTCATTTTAATGATGCACTAGAAGCTGTATACGCCCGAGTCCATATAGAAGAGGTTTTGGAAGGAGTCTACGCGTGACTTTTACCCAAAAGAGTTTCAAAAGGAAATCTACGTCTGAATTCATCTAAATGATATACCTGAATGCGTCTACGCCGACCTTGTCTAGAAGAGATATTTGAAGGAGTTTACGCCTGACTTTTTTCAAAAAGAGTATCAGAAGGAATCTACGCTAGACTTCATCTGAATGATGTACTAGAAGATGTCTACACCTGACTTCATCTAGAAGAGATATTGGAAGGAGTCTACACCTGAATTTTTTCCAATAGAGTGTCAGAAGGAAATCTACATCTGATTTTATCTGAATGATATACTAGAATGAGTCTACACCCAACTTTATCTAGAAGACATATTGGCAAGAGTCTACGCCTGAATTTTTTCCTAAAATAGTATCACAAGGAATCTACGCTTGACTTCATCTGAATGATGTACTAGAAGATGTCTACGGCCGACTTCATATAGAAGAGATATTGGAAGGACTCTACGCCTTCCTTTTTCGCAAAAGAGTATCAGAAGGAAATCTACGCCTGATTTTATCTGAATGATATAATAGAATGAGTCTACACCCGACTTTGTCTAGAGGAGATATTGGAAGGTGTCTACGTCTGACTTTTTTCCAAAAGAGTATTAGAAGGAATCTATGCTTGACTTCATCTGAATGATGTACTAGAAGATTTCTACCCCCGACTTCATCTAGAAGAGATATTAGAAGGAATTTATGCCTTACTTTTTTCCAAAAGAGTTTGAGAAGGAAATCTGCACTTGCTTTCATCTAAATGATGCACTAGAAGTTGTCTACATCTGAATTCATCTAGAAGAGGTATTGGAAGGAGTCTATGTCTGACTTTTTCCCAAAAGACTTTAAAAAGGAAATCTAAGCCCGACATCATCTAAATGATATACTAGAATGAGTCTACGCCCGACTTTGTCTAGAAGAGATATTGGAAGGAGTCTACGCCTGACTTTTTTTCTATAAAGAGTATCAGAAGGAATCTTTGCTTGACTTCATCTGAATGATGTACTAGAAAATGTCTACACCTTACTTCATCTAGAAGAGATATTGGAAGGAGTCTACGCTTGACTTTTTTCCAAAAGAGTATCAGAAGGAAATTTGTGCCTGATTTTATCTAAATGATATACTAGAATGAGTCTATGTCCAACTTTGTCTAGAAGAGATATTGGAAGGAGTCTATACCTGACTTTTTTTCCAAAAGAGTATCAGAAGGGATCTATGCTCGACTTCATCTGAATGATGTAGTAGAAGATGTCTACACTCGACTTCATCTAGAAGAGATATTGGAAGGAGTCTACGCCTGTTTTTTATCTAAAGAGTATCAGAAGAAAATCTACGTCTGATTTTATCTAAATGATATACTAGAACGAGTCTATGCTCGACTTCATAAGAAGAGATATTGGAAGGAGCCTACGCGTGACTTTTTTCCAAAAGAGTTTCAGAATGAAATATACACTTCTGAATTATGCACTAGAAGCTGTCTATGCTCGACATCATCTAGAAGAGGTAATGGAAAGAGTCTACGCCTGACTTTTTCCTAATAGAGTTTCAAAAGTAAATATATGCCAGACTTTATCTAAATGATATACTAGAATGAGTCTACGCCCGACTTTGTATAGAAGAGATATTGGAAGGAGTCTACACCTGACTTTTCCCAAAAGAGTATCAGAAGGAATCTACGCTTGACATCATCTAAATAATGTACTAGAATATGTCTACACCCGACTTCATCTAGAAGAGATATTGGAAGGAGTCTACGCCTGAGTTTTTCCTAAAAGAGTATCAGAAAGAAATCTACGCTTGATTTTATCTGAATGATATACTAGAATGAGTCTACGCCCGACTTTGTCTAGAAGAGATATTGAAAGGAGTCTACGCCTGACTTTTTTACCAAAAGTTTATCCTAAGGAATCTATGCTTGACTTCATCTAATTGATCACTACAAGAAAATTAGTGTTTAACGACACAAAAATTGCGACAGTTATGTGATAACTGTCGTAATTGACATATAGAGACAGTGTTTACGACAGTTGACACCAACCGTCCCTAATATTTATTTTGCGATGGTATAATTAACCATCATAATATTATTATTACGACGGTAAAACAACCGTCGGCCCCCATTTAACACTTTTAACATTGATTTTTCACCAACAACTAGTCACGACGGTAAAATTAACCGTCCTAAAAGGCATATCCCGACGGTAAAGCACCCGTCGCACCCTTAAACCTTTCACGACGGTAAAATTATCCGTCCTAAAATTCATTTCACGACGGTAAAACAACCGTCGCACCCAAAACCTTTAAAAATTCTCATGGGCACGACGGTAAAACACCCGTCGCCGTAAAAAAATTAAAAAGCTCTTCACTTTCTACTCCTGCGTTCACTTTTTCTACTCACGAAGAAAATACAAGAATTCTCGACCTAAGGTTCGTGTGGGTCTTCCAAAGAAGAACCCTAAAGTTTTGAAACCCGCTTTCACCATTCCTCCCAAACTGTTACAATCCCTTCGTTCGTCGAAAGAAGATGAGACCTCCCGGCGGAAGCAGCAACGTTCGTCGGCAACCGAAAGAGTCGGCCTACTTACCACCAACTCCACTAAACAGCCACCGTGACTCTGACGTGAGTTTAGCCAGTAGCCGTCCATCCTCCGTCGGAATCCATTCTCTCGACGTTTACAAAGACCGTTCGTACCAACAGAACGCAACCGCAACCATCAATTCATTCCTGGCCTCTCAGGATTTGAATGTCTCTTTCAAACCTTTTTCCTCTCCTTCCGCTAAACACATTCACCAAACCCTAATCTTCCTCGTCGGGCTCCTCGATTTCAATATAAACAAAATAGAAGATCTTCCGCCACTTCTCAAATTCATGAATTACCCTCACAAACTCAATAAATCTGTTCTCAAATCCCCCGCTGCACCTCATCAATGGCCTTCCATTCTCGCCCTCATTCATTGGCTTGTTCAGTCTTGTCAAATTCATCTCTCTTTTTCTTCTCCCTCCCACACCACCACCCTCCAAACCAACAACATCGTCTTCCAGTATTCTCTCAACGCTTATCTAAATTTCATTAGAGGTGACGATGAAGCCATCTCCGAACTCGACCACGAAATCCGCACCAGGATTCTCCGTGAGAAGTCTAACGCTGACAACACCCTTGCTGCCGCTGAACAAAAGGTCTCTGAATTGGAGGCTCAATTGGAGGGATTGAGGTCTGCTCCTTCTCAGAAGGATTTACTCGACAAAGAGAAGGAAATGCTTCAAGGAGATGTCATTAAGTTTCACAAGATTATTGACGAGTTTGGGTTGCGGATTGAGTCGAAAGAGAGGGATTTGGTGGAGAAGGAGAAACAGTTGCAGGCTAAGGTCGTGGAGAGCGACAACATATGTCAAGAGAATAAAATGCTAAAGAAGAAGGTGGAGTCACAGCCTTTCAATACCAGGGATGTTGAGAGGATGAAAAGAGAGTTGCAGGCTGCTGAGAGGGATGCTGGAGAGGCTGAACTTGCTAGGAATGATTGGGAGGAAAAGTGTTGGGAGCTTGACCGTACTCTCGCAAATAACATCAGAGACTTAGAACCTATCACCAGGGATTGTAACCAAGCCCTTAAGAGGTTCTTTTCTTTTACTCTTGTATTGTATTCTATTGCACCCCATTTGTTTTTTTAGCATAATTGTAGTAGTACTATTATTTTGTAGCAAATGCTATGATGATTATTGATACAGAGTGTCTGCCAAAGTTGAAATCTAAGATAAATCTAGTAAGACTTTCTGATTATAATATTTTATTGGCAAATGTTAGAATCTAACTAATGGATCAAGTGAAATTATAAACCTTATGATTAGAATCTGTCCAAGGTTTCTCATATTAGCATTGCATGGTTTGTTTGAATCTCTTGATGAAAGATAACTGAGCTGGCTTTGTGTTGATTTCAATAGGCTAGATCAGAACATGAATGCATGATGAATCATCTACCCCTTATCTTCCAAAGAGCTAAGTTAAAGTTAAATTTTGACGCAGGATATTGTGATTTTTGTGTGGTGCAGGATATTGATAAGAAGGATGTTTCTCTTAGCAAATTCAAGGGGAAGGTTCTCTTGATTGTCAATGTTGCTTCACGATGGTATGATTTATTCACTTTATATTTGTGTGAAAGCCTTATTTTTTTCAGTTGTAATGTTATGTTTAGGGGAAATTGCACTCACTTTCCCTTTAGGTTATGGTTGGATCGATGAATTAGAAAGGAGCAGAGCAGAATAGAATATTATGGAATGGAGTGGAGTGGAGCAATGGAATGAACTAAATTGTTTTGTTCCGTTCCGTCAACTTATAAAAAATACACAACTATCCATTATTTGCAAATCCAAACAAGGGAATCTGATTATATACCACTCCATTTTATTTCATTCCATCACATCCCACCATTCCAAACATAAAATTTTAGGTATGCTTAAGCAGATAGTTCTCCATTGTAGTACATAGTATTAGGGTTTTAGAAGTTTCCGCAATGTATTGCAACCGCATGGGTTGCAAGCATTTATTCACGCATCCGCAATTTAGAATTATTACACTCTCACTTTTCTTATGGAGGACATTAAATTAAATTCGCCTCAGCTTCACGTGCCTCTAATTTGTTATACAAATATTGAGGGGGCATTATTCAAGCCGAACTGATAGGATGGATTCAGTGTTATTCATTTAACAAATTAGGTGGCGAGTCTTCATTTAAAAATAAATAGTGTGTTCTATATAAGCGTATCTCCGAAGTGATTAGTCAATTTCTGCTAATCAAGTTCTATTTGAGAAGGTTCAAATCAAATACCTTGAAAGTTATGTCAAAGTTTCTGGTATGTTATGATCCTCCTATTGAATGATTTCCTTTGAATGAATGGCAGTGGCTTGACATCATCAAATTACACAGAACTCTCGCACTTGTATGAAAATTTTAAAGATAGAGGTATGTTACTTATGGAGCATAGTTATTTGTTTATTTTTCCTATATTTTTTATATGATTATTGGTGACTAGATATTTTGACAGTGTAGCTTCATTTTGAATCTATCTACTTCTGAAATCATTCTGTTTTGAGTTGGATCATGTTTAAGATTAGGAGAGTAGTATGTCTATTCTTCCCTGTTTTGAGTTGGATCATGTTTAAGATTAGGAGAGTAGTATGTCCATTCTTCCTTGTTTTGAGTTGGATTATGTTTAAGATTAGGAGAGTAGTATGTCTATTCTTCCTAGTTCCTATTGAAGTTCAGGCATAGGTAACTTGTTGGGATTTTTAGATGTGGATACTGATGTTTGATTGAGTGAAGCTAACTAAATGGGATATGTTGATGTACTTACTTTAAAAACCATATCTCTATTCCAAGTATTTCTCTATCGGCCAAGAAAAAAGTGTTGACGTACTTACTTTAAGTTCAGTTGATCATGTATATGCATAATGCATTATTATTACTACTACATTTTGAACTTGAGGTCTGGTACTAAATTTGTGATCTACTCAGATCTGCAGCAAAATGATCACACTTTTTGTTTATAGGGTTATAGTCTTAGATGAGATTCTCTTGTTTTGAGAAATATATGCATGTTTTCTAACATACATTCATTTATTTATTCTACCTGATTGCAATGTGAGGACTGAGGAATTAAGACCATGGGAGTATTTGATACTCATGTTTTGTGTGTAACTTTCCTGTCACTGTGTCTGTGAGGAGGTTGGTTTGGAAAACTCCTTCATTACAAATATTCGACATTGTATTAACATTTTGAATTCAGTGCAGGGGAAGGTCACTGTGCATACTTTTGCTAGCATTTCTTCTTCGAATGTGTAATCATACTATTCTTTCTTTCACATTTTGAATTTCCTGTAGATGTTTTATACCATGTCATATGATTGCCATTTGTCAAACTACTTGTTTGGAAGGGAGATGATTTTATATATATATATATATATTTATTTGATGTTGTTTATCAATTTCGCTTATATATTCTAATTTGGATTTATTTGTTCACAATGTTTGTAGAGGGTCGCCACTCTTTTGGATTGGTGTTGGTGTTGGGTTTTCTGCACTATTTTCAGTGGTGAGAACCATAGTCAAAACTCAGTATTATATATACTGATGTTTATTTTTCTTCATTTTTATTTATGTTCAATATATTAAGGTCCATTTCTTTTTGGCAGGTAGCTTCAAGATTAAAGGTGAAGCAGCAGCTGCAAGAACTGCCTCTCAATCTACTGTCACAGTAGACATACCTTCAACCAAAGTAGAAGCAGCAGCCTCGGCCCCAGACATTAATGTTAAAGAAGAAGTGGAAGTAAAGAATGAACCAAAAAAATCCGGTAACATACAATCTCTGTTCATGACTCCCATTTTTCTTCTTGTTGGATGACATGTACTACATTTGCAATTTATAAGTAGTGTGATTCCGTGTCCACTATCAGATGTATATGTGGCTCTAAGAATTTAAGTAAAAGTTGTACCCAAATCACTGTTGTCGATTGGTTCATCCTACCATAGGACGCATTACTAGTCTTTCCATGTATACTATCTTGCAGCTTTCTTTTTGTTATAAACTTATAATAGCTTGAGTGAGCCTATGCCACAGCATTATTTTTAAGCTTTGCTTGCATGCAAGTATCCTCTGACAAACTTGATAGTGCTCCCTAAATAGACATCAGCTGTTTTAGTTTTCCGTTGAATGCGTCACTAACTAATGTCTAATTGTCAGGTGAATGTCTTTGAATTTATGTCTGTATCATTTGGGATTATTCATTAGTGTATGCATACCTATTATTTTCTCAACCTTGCTTGCATGCTATCATGTTAGTTAATGGCTCTACAGTTTCTTAAGTCACTTGTAATGGAAACATACTGCTTTGAATTATAACAAATTGTGAAGTGTGTCCATATAAATTTGCTGGAATTAAAATTTTCCTGATAAATATTTATTTATTGCAGCTTTTGTAGATGTGTCTCCAGAAGAAACTGTGCAGAAGAATGCTTTTGAAAGATTTAAAGATGTTGATGAATCAAGTTCATTCAAGGAAGCCCGTGCTCTAGCTGAAGTGAGTTTACAATTCTAGTTTTTTCTAAATATGTTTAGTGATTTGTCTTACCCTTAACATGTAATAACAATATTATTGAAGGCTTCTCAAAATGGAGCTCCTTTTAACCAAGGTTTTGGCAATTCACCCGGGTCTCTATCTGCACGTAAGTAAGGAGTCAGTTGAAATTGAAAATATTTACATATCTGCTTTATTGCTGAAATCCTGTGTAGTGTAATACATCTATTCAAGCGATTTCAAGGAAATATAATGGCACAATGTAGACCGGGCCTGTTAAATAGATGACTGTTCATGTTATTATAGTCGTGCATATTGATTTAATATATCTGTCATCATCGATTTTAAAGTTAAATTTTATGAGTATTATTTTAAAGATTATTATTTTAAATTTTATGAGTATTATTTTAAAGATTATTATTATTTAAATACATTTTAATACATAGATGGTCTTTAGAAAATTTAATTTTTGATAGTCTGATTACTAAGTCTTTTGAAACTATTTCATTAAGTAAGTCAAAGTTGACATGAGCTAAACGTCTATGCCATAGCCAAAAGTCTTCACTCAAGGTGACAAGACTTTGAACATTATTCAAGGAAATATATCTTAAGTCAAGCATATAAATGTTACTAACCCTCAAACCCTTAAACATACAATCCTTCTTTTCACTATGTTCAGTTATGCAAAAATATTTTGCAAAAGACACTTTATATCCATTATTTCATAATTGACTAATACTAAGAAGATTATGTCTAAGGCCTTCAACTAACATAACATTTGAGATAGTAATAATTGAGGAATTACCTATATTATCTTTTCCAAGTATCACACCTTTGTTGTGATCACTATAGGATTCTATGTTTCGATCTGAGCAAGTCACTAGCTACAGGCTTTAGAACGCGTGTAAGTGTTTCGACCTGAAATATGGATGTGTCGACACATAAAATAAGAATTTCTGCAATTTCATAAATCTTCCAGTATATGTCGACCTGAAGGATACATGTGTAGACCTGTGACTTATAGAAGCTTACATGTTTAAAAATTGAGTTACAAGTGTCAACTTGAAAATCGAATGTGTCGACACATACAATGCAAAAACGTGCAGAAATTAATTTTCAATGTGTTGGGTCAATTTCAAATTGGTTTTTGATAATTCTTAAGACCTATGATACAAAATACCTTGCATTGAAGTTGTACTCACAATGGTGTATATGAATCTGTTGTAAACATGACATTGTTGTTTGGGAGTTTTGAAGTAGTGATACAATGTTTTTTTAATATTTTATGAAAACAGTGTAATTAGCATAAATAAATAACTTATTCACCTCGGTAATAATTAAGTGTTTTTTGTACTATATTCATCGGCCTTAACAAATCTTTGTTGTCCATTTAATGATTATCAATGGTCAAGACACTACCATTAATAATCTGTGTGAAATCTAAGCTCTTGAATAGATTGCAAGAGTTAATACAATATATTTCTATGATGGATTGCAAGTGCAAAAAAATTTCAGGGTTCATGATTTGTTTTCTTAAATATTTTTATTCGAATCGATAATTATTTGATTTTTTATATTAATTGCCTTTTTTTTATTAGAAACAATTTCATGTAAGGTCTAACAGAAGATCTTCTCCAAGATTCAATATTACGAAGATGTAAATCTAAATCTTGAGGTAATTTGATTTTTATTTTGAACCACCATAAGAAATTTGAATTTTATTTTAATTTTAATATTCTGTGTAAGCAATGTAACAACTTTAATATATATATATATATATATATATATATATATATATATATATATATATATATATATATATATATATATATATATATATATATATATATATATATATATATATATATATATATATATACCCTAGATGTTTTGGAGAAATCGAGATAAAAAATACGTTAATTTTGAAAATAATAAAAGTGTGGCTACTGGGGTTTGAACTCGTGTGCATATAACTGTATCTCTCGGGTTTTGAAACACCGAGGTGTTAAGTTGAGACTTTTCATGACAATATTGGTTAACTTGTTTTTTTTACCGAGGTAAAACGCATTTCGTGTCTGATGTTAGAAGCGTTATTTATTATAGGGTTGTTATTTTTTTAGTTGTGGTTGCAAGAGTAGATGTCATAATTCTTGATAATTTTTAAGTTCTTTTGAAGTTGGAGGCTTTGGCCATAATTTCATTTAAATTCGAATAACGATTTTTCATGAAAATTAGTTAATTGATGAGTTGTGTTTTGTTAATTTATTCCACTACAATGAGCCTAATTAAATGGGAACATGTGATGACGGATGTTTATATTATATGGAAAAGATTTGTGATGTCTATGTGTGATATCTTATGTAAATAATTGTTTTAAATTTGTATTATACGCGTTGGGATTTTAGGGTGTTATAATTAATAGTCCCAATCCATTTGGGTTAAGGCATGAAAGCTCTAAAGAGTCTGGTGTAATCATTATGAATCATATTAATCTTGTTTATATTCTTATGGATGTGGTAAGTCATTAATGTTTGTGTAACAAAAATTCTTACTCATATAGTTTGTATTAGAGCCTTGCCAAATGTTACGAAGGTAGACAACCCGAAAGGTAAGAATCATACATGTATCTTTTGAAAATAAAACTAAAACTGCTATCTCCATATTTAATGGAAATTATGGGGAGGTTGTTTTATAAATCAATGGTTAAAAATCATTCTTGTGTTTCTTCATTTTAACCTTCGTAAAGATTGGTTAAATCTGTTGGTTAAATTCTTGTGTTTCTTCATTCTTGTGCTATCTCCTTTGTATTAATTTTTCAAAATATGTGTACCCGCAGGTTGGTTAAATCTGTTGAACCAATAAACGACATGTTTTCCAGTGGTTGGTGTTTCACTGGATAATCTAATACTTGAATCTAGCAGTAGTTTTGTCCCAAGCCCCCAAAGAAGACCCTCGTGTTGTTTAATTGAAGAACTATCAAATGGTTACTCTAAGGTTACATGGATTGAACATACACTAGTTAACGATAACAAGGTGAAGAATTTTTATCGACCTCTAATTAATTCTGGACTCGCATTTGGCGCGAATTTCATGTTCTTTCATGTTACTTATTTCTTTTTTACTTTTTAAGAATCTTCAAAACATTATAACAATATAATTGTAGTTAGATATGAAAACATTAATAATTTAATATTTTCAATTTATCAAAGCAACATTGAAAAGCACTTAAAAGAAAATCTCAAGTTCTCTATCAATCAAATATTTTACTTCCTAATCATTTAAATTTTCTACAATTTTTTAAAAATTTGCTACCTTTTATATTAAAATTATTATCATTTGTATAAAATTTTAAAATTTAAATATTATAAAAACTACTTATTTGTTATAACTACTTCTACCTTTAACATGTTTCATAAAAAATGTAAGCACATATATTTAATATTTCTATACATAGAAACATATACTTCTATTTTCTTATTAAAATATTCTCTTTTAAAAAAATAAAACAAAAAACTGAAAGAAAAAAAAGAAAAATAAAACAAAAAGATTGACGAACTAACATTATATTTTAAACCACTTATTTGTCATAACTATTTTTATCTTTAACATGTTTTATAATGAATATCGCACATGTATCGAATATTTCTGCACAAAAAAGCTTATACTTCTATTTTTTTATTAATATATTCACTTTTAAAAATTATTTGATATTGTCTTCAAACAAAAATTATAACAAAATAATGGAAAAAAAAATAATGTTACATGGTCACCTTTCAGTGAGTTAGTGTAGACAGAGAAACTAAACAAAAAAATTCCAAAAATTAAAATAAGAGTTATTAAAATAAATTAACATTATTAAAATATAATAATAATTCAAAAATTATTAAAATAAATAAAAAATTATAATTATAATTAAATATAAAATAATAATTAAAATAAACTAGTTAAATAAATGAATATAAAATGCACACAATATAAATAAAATAAAAGTTAATATAAATAAATTGATTTTTAAAAAACTTGTAAAAATTATCTATATAAACTATTATTAAAATAAATATCTATATAAATTATTTAAATATTAATTCTATTGATGTAATTATTACAGTAAAAAATATCTAATACTTACGTGAAGTATCTTTAACAAAGAAGTAATCTTTTACTCTCACTCGAAAATAAAATTAATAATCATTTTACATGTATAAAGTAAGAAATAGAAGATAAAAACAATCATACAAATATGAAGAATAGCACAAAGCACAAATGTGAAGATCTAAAGTGAAGTCACATATTTATAGTCACATAGAGCAAGAGTATTTAGACCACTAAAAAATATTAAATTTATAATAGAAAATTTAAATATTAATTCATTTATTAGATGAATAGTTTAAAGATTGAAAAGTTTATATATATATATATATATATATATATATATATATATATATATATATATATATATATATATATATATATATATATATATATATATATATATATATATATATATATATATAATGACATTAGTAATTTTTAAAATTTGAACTATTCAATTAATTGTATGGTTATATAATTATAACAAAAAATTATTTAATATGTAAATGTGTCTTTGTATATTTTTAAGATATTTTATTTTATTTTATAAATAAATTTAAAATAATAGGAATTTAAGGGAAAAAGTAATAGAAGAAGTTATAAAAATTTAATGACTATTTAATATATAATTTTATTAATAGTCAATTTATTGACTATTCAAATGAGAAAGAAATGGAAGAATTTATAAAAATAATTTATATTTAAAACATGTTAATGGTAAATGAATTGTTAAAATTAGTTTATAGTTATGTAAGATTAAAATTTTAGAAAATGAATAGTTTCATACACTGTCAATTCAACAACCATTTAAGAAAGAAATTAAGGAAAAAATTAATAAAAATAATTTACAATAAAAAAAGATTAATATTAAAGTAATTATTAAAATTAATTTATAATTATATTTGTATTATTGACTTTTTTTTTTATAATTTATAGTTATAGTTATATAAAAATAAAAAACTAAATATTCCTAAAAAGGCAATATAAAACATCTTCCTTTGTGCATATGAAGTTTAAAATATTATAAAAATAATAAATAGTTTAATATAAATGGAAAAAATTGT